TTAGACAACCAACTGTTTGTTACACTTGTTCCATTTCAGATGCACACCTACCCACAAAACAGTGTTGTTCTGAGTCGTCCTGCCACCCACAACCACATCAATCCCACACAGTCCTGCGCGGTAAACTACTCACTTGCGCCCCCAACATTTTCTCACTTGTGCCCCTTACTCACTTGCGACCCCCTCTCACTTACGCCCCAAAATACTCACTGACGCCCCCCTCTCGACTCACTTGCGCCCCCTGGCCTTCCACAATGCCATCATCTAAAATCTACCTCTTTATTAAAATTTTCCTCTTTATTTAAATTCCCCCCCCTGCCTTCCACAATGCCATGATCTAAAAATCTACCTCTTTATTTAAACTTCCCCCCCCCTTGCCTTCCACACTGCCATGATCTAAAATTTACCTCTTTATTTAAACTTTACCCCCCCTTGCCTTCCACAATGCCATCATCTAAAATCTAACTTTTTATTTAAACTTCCCCCCCTTGCCTTCCACACCGCCAGGATCTAAAATTTAACTCTTTATTTAAACTTTACCCCCCCTTGCCTTCCACAATGCCATCATCTAAAATCTACCTCTTTATTTCAATTTTCTTCTTTATTTAAATTTCCCCCCCTTGCCTTCCACAATGCCATGATCTAAAATCTACCTCTTTATTTAAACTTCCCCCCCCTTGCCTTCCACAATGCCATCATCTAAAATCTAACTTTTTATTTAAACTTCCCCCCCCTTGCCTTCCACAATGCCATCATCTAAAATTTACCTCTTTATTTCAAGTTTCCTCTATTTAAACTTCCCACCCTTGCCTTCCACAATGCCATGATGTAGTCGTAGTAGTAGTAGTAGTAGTCGTCGTCGTCGTCGTAGTAGTAGTAGTACTACTACTACTAGTAGTAGTAGTAGTCGTCGTCGTCGTAGTAGTAGTCGTAGTAGTACTAGTAGTACTAGTAGTACTAGTAGTACTAGTAGTACTAGTAGTACTAGTAGTACTAGTAGTACTAGTAGTACTAGTAGTACTAGTAGTACTTGGAGTACTTGGAGTAGTAGTACTAGTGTCCTAGTAGTACTAGTGTCCTAGTAGTACTAGTAGTACTAGTAGTACTAGTAGTACTAGTAGTACTAGTAGTACTAGTAGTACTAGTAGTACTAGTAGTACTAGTAGTACTAGTAGTACTAGTAGTACTAGTAGTACTAGTAGTACTAGTAGTACTAGTAGTACTAGTAGTACTAGTAGTACTAGTAGTACTAGTAGTACTAGTAGTACTAGTAGTTCTAGTAGTACTAGTAGTACTAGTAGTACTAGTAGTACTAGTAGTACTAGTAGTACTAGTAGTACTAGTAGTACTAGTAGTACTAGTAGTACTAGTAGTAGTACTAGTAGTACTAGTAGTACTAGTAGTACTAGTAGTACTAGTAGTACTAGTAGTACTAGTAGTACTAGTAGTACTAGTAGTACTAGTAGTACTAGTAGTACTAGTAGTACTGGTAGTACTAGCAGTACTAGCAGTACTAGTAGTACTAGTAGTACTAGTAGTACTAGTAGTACTAGTAGTACTAGTAGTACTAGTAGTAGTTGTTGTTGTAGTAGTAGTAGTACTGTCGTCGTCTTCGTCGTAGTAGTAGTAGTAGTAGTATTAGTAGTAGTAGTAGTAGTAGTACTAGTAGTAGTGGTAGTGGTAGTGGTAGTAGTAGTAGTAGTGGTAGTACTAGTAGTCGTAGAAGTCGTAGAAGTCGTAGAAGTCGTAGAAGTCGTAGAAGTCGTAGAAGTCGTAGAAGTCGTAGAAGTCGTAGAAGTCGTAGAAGTCGTAGTAGTAGTAGTAGTAGTAGTAGCAGTAGTAGTAGTAGTACTAGTATTAGTTGTTGTTGTAGTACTAGTAGTACTGTCGTCGTCTTCGTTGTCCTCGTCGTAGTAGTAGTAGTAGTAGTAGGAGTAGTAGTAGTGGTAGTGGTAGTGGTAGTGGTAGTGGTAGTGGTAGTGGTAGTGGTAGTGGTAGTGGTAGTAGTAGTAGTAGTAGGAGTGGTAGTGGTAGTGGTAGTGGTAGTGGTAGTGGTAGTGGTAGTGGTAGTGGTAGTGGTAGTGGTAGTGGTAGTGGTAGTGGTAGTGGTAGTGGTAGTGGTAGTAGTAGTAGTAGTATTATTATTAGTAGTAGTAGTAGTAGTGGTAGTAGTGGTAGTAGTAGTAGTAGTGGTAGTAGTAGTAGTAGTGGTAGTACTAGTAGTGGTAGTACTAGTAGTAGTAGTAGTAGTAGTAGTAGTAGTGGTAGTACTAGTAGTAGTAGTGGTAGTACTAGTAGTCGTAGAAGTCGTAGAAGTCGTAGAAGTCGTAGAAGTCGTAGAAGTCGTAGAAGTCGTAGAAGTCGGTAGAAGTCGGTAGAAGTCGTAGAAGTCGGTAGAAGTCGTGGAAGTCGTAGAAGCAGTAGAAGCAGTAGAAGTAGTAGAAGTAGTAGAAGTAGTAGAAGTAGTAGAAGTAGTAGAAGTAGTAGGAGTAGTAGAAGTAGTAGAAGTAGTAGAAGTAGTAGAAGTAGTAGAAGTCGTAATTACCTTTACCTTCTACGAGGGGCACAAGCGAGAAAAAAACGGGGGCACAAGCGAGAAAATTTTGGGGGCACAAGCGATGCAGCGACCGTCCTGCGCCAGTCTCCTTGGAAAAATCATAGCAGGACTTGGATCGGACTGAGATTGGATGGCAGGCCTTCACCTGACTCGGGCCACCATGGAAAAACTTCGCCAAGTTCAGCTGGATTTGAAGCTGAAGAACTTTGTTCAGCCGCTTTCCCCCCCGATCTTGCAACAAACTGCAAGTTCATCTTCTGAACCCTTCATCTGCTGCACATTGCCATGTTTTCTTGGCCAGGAAACCTTGGAACCAGAGATCATCTCCTTAGTTTTCCAGTGCTAACACGAACTTGGCGTCTTCATCCACTGGGATATGGTCCCCGAGAATGTTCGTCCCTGAGATGAGTTCATCGTTCATGCTGCTCAGCTCATCGCAAATCTTATCCACAAAAACAGAGGACGCATACGACACGGACGGGTCGCCAATGCACACCTGTGGAAGCGCAGTTCGAACGACAGGTCCATCTCGCAGAACGTCTCGAACAAACCCCCAGGTTGAGGCAGCTTGGTTTAACAAAAAACACAGAAGCACAATGGACAGCAGAAAGCCTGCAAGTGGTGAATCGGCTTCATCCAATCGCAGCAAGAGTTGGGTGCTCGATACGGTCAAGGGAAAGGCCACGAATTCCAGGGCTCTGAGTTCCCAAGCTCCAGGACTCAGACCATGCCGCGGCCCTTGGTGTAGAGATCGTGCGCGACGAGAGAGCCACGCAGCCGTGAGGAGAAAGCACGGAATCTGGGCTGGGTGTGGGTATTGCCAGCAACATTGGCGTGGCCAACTCTTGTGGGGGTAGAGGCACATTGTTGAAACTTCCCACCATGGCCACCACTTGTACTGCAAACACGGCTGCAGAAGCTGAAGCACCGGAACTGCTAAGCTGCTGACCAAGGTGCAAATCGGGATCAACACCAGCAGAGGAAAGGTGACAAAGCTAGCTGCAGCCGGTACCACACCCGCCGCCATCATTCGCTTCGACTCTCAACACTTACCTCTGGATTGGCATCACCTCTGAAGCTGTATGAAGATCAGCTGCAGCGATGGCACAGCAGCACAGTGCCAGCAGCCATGGGAACATGTTGCCATGGAAAAACCGATCATGTGTTTGGAAATGGTGGTGTCGGAAAACTCAGCAAGGGGAATAATTTGATAGGAAGGGAAATTCATGTTGGTCAGCAAGTGAAGCTGTGGTTCCAGCCTCCTCTGCAATTCCGTTTGCAGTCTCTCTTTCTTCTATGTCAATCCGTATTTGTAAATTGAAAAAACTGGAGTCAAACCCCTTGGGAGCAGTTTCAGCCATGTTTGATTTGGGAATATGTATGTATATATATATGGGAATATATAACACCTGACCTCTGGGGTCATTGAAAAATATTAGCTCTGTAGTTCATAAGTGGCATCAATTTCGCCCTGATGAGCCAAGTATCCAGACTGCAAAGAAAGTCTGCTGGCTGTCAGCAATCTGGAGCAAACAGCTGCTCTCAGCAGCGCTGTGTGGAGCCAGATTTTTCGACAGATCAAGCTATCAGGCGGCGTCATATCTCTATACGGTCTATATGGTACAGGTATCAGATATTCTGTCACCTTGGACGACGCCTCTCATAAGCTTCCTGGACCGCTAAAACCAAACAAAAAATCAAACAAACCTTGCACGTGTGTCTTTTATAGCTTATATATATATATGTTTGTTTATTTATTCATTTATTCATATTTAAATTTATTTATTTGTATTTATATTTATACTCATATTTATATATTTATTTATATATTTATTTATATTTATTTATTTATCTATTTTTTTTATTATTGCTAAATTTTATTCATTCATTTATTTATTTATTTAGTCAGTTATTTATGTATGCATTTATTTATTTAATTACTTATTTATTTATTTATATTTTTATTTATTTATATCCAGACATACAATTCCATATCTAGTCTAGTGATATACCTTTGGCACCAGAATATCCTTGATAGGCTCTTCATTTGCTACGACTATGACATTGGTTCAGGTGTCTTTGAAGCTCCACAGGCTTGTCCCTATCTTACCAGCCTGGCACTGGCAAGCCTTTACACTGCACGTGTCGCATCGTGTCATCGTGCCGGTGAAACTCACTTGAGCGCCATCTCGTCAATCCCAGCCAACGTAATTCTCCAAAACCTCATGAAATCTCATGAAACCATCCGATAAGAAGCACCACAACCCTCACAAATGCAGCCATGACCAATGACCAATGTCTGAGCAAAATGCGTAAACCGTGGCCAAGCAAAGCGGGTAGAGGCTCAAAATGAAAAACCTGGAGGCGCACCAAAGTCTTCCAGAAGGTAGAAACCCACTCCCAGAAGTCCCACAAGTCCCACAAGCATAGTTCCGTGTTCCGTCTAGATCTCCCACGCGTCCAGGAGTCTGTGAACTCGCCGGAACACACAACTCAAGGCGATCATCACCTTTGCAGAAATGCGGCCCTTTGCTGTGGAAATGCCAAATTGGCTGGAAAGCTTGCATCTTCCACAGTCTTCTAGGCCTGAATCAGCATGATCGCAATTGTTTCCGCTGAGAACTCCCAGGCAAGGTTTTGAAAGTACCTCAACTTCTAAAGTGGGAGTCGAATCAATCAATACAGCCGGACTCAGACTCCAATGACTAATGACTCTACTTGCTGCCAAGCAGAATGCACTGAGGGAGATGCACTAATGCAAGGAAGATTGCCAAGCAGAAAGTGTTGTTCATAATTGCTGCACCCTGGAGCGAAAACGTGCAATGTAGCCATCTGGAAGATATGTCTGAACGGAGCAAAATGTCCTCATATACTGTATACTGTAAAGCACTTTGCATACTACCTGCCTCAAGGGTACTTAAAGATGTGGTAATGGATTTGCAGGTTCTCTTCTTCGCGTAGTTATACCTGAAAGTCCAGGATCCCCTGCAAACCCCCACACTGGAAATTCACAAACACAAAGATTTGCAATTCATCACCAAAACTTCGGATTTGACCAAAACATTGTGAGTTCTACTTTTCACCAGGAAAATCACTGCGAAACAAGGGAAATGGGTATGTTTCAACCATGGGGTGGGTCTCATCCAATTTTGGCGGGGCAATAGTTTTGAACGATATTGTTGATTATACTGAATTATTTTTATATTACATTCAAGGATATCCCCATGGTTGGCTTGAACCATCGCCAAATGGTCCCCAGCACACGCTGCCACCAATTCGCTGGCATTGGATGCCAGGGGTGCCAGGACCTGGCACGATGATAAAAATCCGAGACTTAGCTGCTTGAAACATGTTGATATTATAAAGTTGTTAGGTTAGACACATACATGTGTGTCTACATATATATATATATATATGTGTGTGTGTGTCAACATAGTTCATGCTCTTTTCATTTTTTCACATTTGCCATCCTGAGGTGCTCCAAGGACTAAGGTGAATCCAATGGCCTTTCGGCCCAATGCCCATTTTGCAGGGCGCCCTTGGAGCCACCACATGGCCGTTGCGGATTTGACCGCTTCTGCTTGGTGCTGAAGGAAAAGGACTTTGTGCTGCCGACTGACTTCGTGGGCGTCGCAGCTGGGATCTTGGCTGGTCGGGTAACTGACTACTTGGTTGGGTTCCCCTACGGCTAGATCGATATTGGTAGCGGAGCCCAGTTGGGCATCCGGGGGCTACCTCCTAGACTTCTTCCTCGCTTCTGAGTCCACAACAGCCGCCGGCTGCTCCGGCCGCTGCCGCTGCTGCTGCGCAAGGTGTTCAAGCCAATGGTGGTACAGCTCAACAAGGGCAAGGTGGTTTCGAAAGAGGCCGAGACTCGGGCCTTGCAAAGGCTGCACCATCAGCTCAGGGCTTGTCACAGAAGACATACCGAGCCTACAGAAGGCGATTGGATTTGCTCAGCCGACAATGCAGAGGCACCTGGTCCTCAGCCAACTCCAAGATGTTGCTTGGGATGCCACGGACAGCATTGAGCTGGACGACATCGAATTTGCCGACGACCCCTTCAAGCCCATTGTCAAGGTCTTGGGTGCGCTCTTCCAACATGAAGAAGAAGTAGAACTACCAGAGCGCTGCCAGTATTTTTTCGAACAGTTCCAAAGAGAGCGACAAGAGGAGCTTCAAGCAGATCTTGCCCGGCATCAACCGATGCTCAAGAAGTTGAAGGATTTGCAAGTAGATGTCCCTCCACTACTTGCTGGCTGGCATCTGCTGATGCGCGCTGGCATTCCGAGATGGACACATCCACAGGTGAAGTCAATGTGCAATGGGGAGCTCACCAAAGAGAAGGTGGCTTGTGCACTGACCCGGATGTTTGGAGATGACAGCACACCCAACTTCAAAGACACCACGTTCAAGCTTCGGGATTCTTTAGGGTTTCATGTAGGGTTTCTTCCCAGGATTTCTTATCAAGATTTGGAAACGTTCATGTGGGTTTCTTTAGGGCTTCTTTAGGGTTTCATGTCGGGATTCTTTCGGGTTTCATTTAAGGTTTCTTTAGGGTTTCATTGTCTGCTTCTTAGGGTTTCATTTAGGTTTCCTTTAGGGTTCCTGTAGGGTTTCATGTAGCGTTTGATTTAGGGATTCGTTAGGGTTTCATTTAGGGTTTCATTTAAGGGTTTATTATCAGGATTTCATCAAGATTTCCACGCGTTCATGTGAGTTTCTTTGGGGCTTCTTTAGGGTTTCTTTAGGGTTTCATTTAAGGTTTCATGTTGGTTTTCGTATCAAGATTTCCTATCAGGAGTTTCAAACGTTCATGTGGGTTTCTTTGGGTTTTGATTTAGGGTTGCATTCAGTGTTCTTCAGAGTGTCGTTTAGGATTTCCTTAGGATGCCATGTAGGGATTCATTCAAAGTCTTAAAGTTTCTTTAGGGCTTCATTTATGGTTTCTTTAGGGTTAATTTATGCTTTCTTTAGGGTTTTTCAGGGTTTCATGTAGGGGTTTCTTATCAGGAGTTCTTATCAGGATTTCTTTAGGGTTTCTCTGGGTTTCACCTAGGGTTGTTAGTGTTTCATTTAGGATACAAACAGGAGAGAAGAGAATATAGCAAAAGAAAAGGAAAAAACAAAGAGGCAGTAAAGACAGGAAGCAGAGAAACAGAGGAGCGGGAAGTAGAGCAGCAAAAACACATGACTAAAGAAAAGAAAAAGTAGAACAGTAGAAGTAGAAAGGTACAGAAGCACAAAAGCAGAAAAGCAGGGAAAGCAGAGAAGCAGAAAGAAGCAGGCAAAGCAGAGAAGCATGAAAAGCATTTCAAGCAGGAAAAGCAAAAAACAGGAAAAGCAAAAAGCAGAACAGCAAAAAGAGAAGCAGAAAAGCAAAAAGAGAAGCAGAAAAGCAGAGAAGTGGACAAGCAGAGAAGCAGGGAAAGCAGAAAAGAAGAAAAGCAAAGTAGACAAGCAGAGAAGCAGGAAAAGCAGACAAGCAAAAAAGCAGAGAACCAGGAACCCAAGAAAAAATCCAAAACCTGCCGCGAAAAAACCTCCAGAAATAAATAGCTCTCCTTTGACATTTGCCTCCCCGGTTCTACCATCCAAGGGGTACATGGTCACTGAAATCATGGAGTACATCCCCTCTGAGTTCTTCCTGGCCATCAAGCTTGACCAGGTGATTGGATTTGTCTTCATGCCGATCCTTGGCATGATCTTTGCCTACCACATGGGCAAACGAGCTGGACGTCAAGAAGGGCAACAACTACATCATGGACGAGCGCAAGTAATTACAAGGTTTGATGGACAATCAAGTCCAGACTGAAGAAGAAAGTGAATCTGAAGCTTCCTCAACAGACGAGGAGCCTGCTCAGCTACCAAGGGTGGAACAGCTTCCCGAACAGGAAGATGATCCTGGAATTTGTTCAGACGTGAAACGTCTGACAGCTCCTGAGATTCGCCATTTGGTCGCCTATGGCTGCGAGGTGCTCAGCGACCAGGAGGTGAACGACATCCGTGAGAGGTTCATGGCATCTCTACAGCCCTCCATGAAGACTATATACATGTCTGCAGAGCAGATCCAAAAGGTTCTGAATGGCGATTTGGACGCCCCTTCGGTTCCCATTGAGCCAGCAGAATGAAATGGAATTGGAAGAACCCAAAGAGAAGCTTTGGAGGATTTGCTGCTCTTGGCCATCCCCTATGAAGCCATGAACGCGCAGCTGGTCCATCAAGCTCGAATCATCCGAGCAGAGCTGCTGACAATTCGAACGGTAGGATGTGATGAAATTCAATGCCTTTCGAGGCATTAATCTTTTTCCAGCTGAGCAGTACAGATAAGTGTCCCAACTTTTCCTTTTTGGACCTGTGTCAACATAGCTCATGCTGTTGTCATCTTTTTCACATTTGCCATCCTGAGGTGCTCCAAGGACTAAGGTGAATCCAATGGCCTTTCGGCCCAATGCCCATTTTGCAGGGCGCCCTTGGAGCCACCACATGGCCGTTGCGGATTTGACCGCTTCCGCTTGGTGTTGAAGGAAAAGGACTTTGTGCTGCCGACTGACTTCGTGGGCGTCGCAGCTGGGATCTTGGCTGGTTGCGTGACTGACTACTTGGTTGGGTTCCCCTACGGCTAGATCGATAATATGTCCATTTATTCATACGTATTTATACATGCATGTGTATATATATATATATACAGTACATATCCTATGCGCGTGCATATATATATATATATATATACCAGTACCATATATACCAGTAGTACCGCACAAGGCGGTGGCGGAAGTTTCAAAAATAGGAAACCTATAGGAAAGGTTGGTTGTTGTGAATCACGGATGGCAGAGCGAAGCCACTGATGGATCGAAAGGTGACTGATGTCTCCTCTCTTTCTCTCTCTTTCTCTGACTATCTACCTACCTACCTACTCATCTATCTACCTATTTATCTATTTATCTATCTATCTATCTATCTATCTGATTATCTGATTATCTATCTATCTATCTACCTACCTATCTATCTATCTATCTATCCATTTATCCATCTTTCTATCTACCTACCTACCTACCCATCTATCTATCTATCTCTCTCTCTCTTTCATCTGTCTATCTGTCTAGCTGTCTACCTGCCTAACTGTCTATCTATCTATCTATCTTTCTTTCTATCCATCTATCTATCTATCTATCTATCGATTATCTATCTATGAATCTATCTATCTATCTGTCTGTCTGTCTGTCTGTCTATCTGTCTATCTGTCTATCTGTCTACCTGTCTACCTGTCTATCTGTGGTGCTGTGTCATTCAGTGTAATGTAGTGTAGTGTAGTGGAGTGTAGTAGAATGTAGTGTAGTGTAGTGTAATGTAGTGTAGTGTAGTGTAGTGTAATTTAGTGTAGTGGAGTGTAGTGGAGTGTAGTGGAGTGTAGTTGTAGTAGTGTAGTGTAATGCAGTGTAGTGTAGTGGAGTGTAATGTAGTGTAGTGTAGCGTAATTTAGTGTAGTGGAGTGTAGTGGAGTGTCGTGGAGTGTAGTTGTGTAGTTGTAGTTGTAGTTGTAGTGGAGTGTAGTGTAATGTAGTGTAGTCTAGTGTAGTGTAGTGTAATTCAGTGTAGTGGAGTGTAGTGGAGTGTAGTGGAGTGTGGTGGAGTGTAGTTGTGTAGTTGTGTAGTTGTAGTTGTAGTGTTGTGGAGTGTAGTGTAGTGTACTGTAGTGAAGTGTAATGGAAGGTAGTGTAGCGTAGTGTAATGTAGTGTAATGTAGTGTAGTGTAGTGTAGTGGGGTGTAGTGGGGTGTAGTGTAGTGTAGTGTAGTGTAGTGTAGTGTAGTGTAGTGTAGTGGAAGGTAG